TTAAAGACCCTAATTTACATTTGAAGTTAATTTGTAGTTATGTCCCTTGTATTAAAAATTACAAACTATTTGAGAATGATTGTGGGTTAAAAAAACATCAGTTCGACTAGTCTGACATGAAAAATATTTTATGTTTTCAGAGATGCTGATATTATGAGGCAGAAACAAGAGAAGAAAAAGGCACAGCAAGAGGCAGGTGGGGCACAGGGAGCGTCTAGTGGAGCTAGTTCCTCTAAGAAGAAGTAGCCCAGTTATTTGAAGGAAATTATAGTTTGGACAATGAACATTATGTGAAAGGACATTCTTAGTGGTGGTTATTTTAGACTAATCTTGACCAAAACATGAACCTCTCCATTCTTCTCTGATGAAATGATCTACTTGTATTTTTTTATAGGGATGTAGTGATATATCATGATACTTAACTAGTTTTAGGGCTAACAATTTTTTCCCTTTCTAAATCTTCTTAAATAGAATTTGTCAATGTCTAACATAAGATTAAATTTTTAAGCTTGCTTAAACTAAAAATTTTTTTTCGTATTTGAACAGTAAGAGTTTTCTTAATTGTAAAGAACAAAAGAAAATGATGAAATTAAAGAATGATTTGACACTGGAGTAAAAATTCATCATTATGTGTTAAATTACTCCTGCACCAATACTGAACAACAAATTTAAATGTTTTGTCTGTAATCGTCCAAATGATACAAATGTTTTCTTATATTGTGGTTTTGATTGTTACAACAATATGAGAACCGTATGTTACAAAAAAAAAAACTGTTTTAATTGGTTTGAATTGAATGATTAATCAGTCAGATTAGATGAAAAAATTGTCAAAATTCAACAGTCTGCTCATTATCTGTCACTTAGCTGCAGATGCATGTGGATACAGTGGTCAAACTATCATGATCTTGTGAAACATCCAATCAAATTCGACTACCTAATCATCAGTAATATGTCCAATGCATCTATAGTTAAGGGACTGTGATGATGTTTATGTTTACGCACATATCAGATTACAGAAATTACTATTGATTACAAACTTATGAAATTTATCTTGATTGCTCTTTGTGAATTAAGCCATTTTATAGCATTCCCGTTTCTATTTGGAGTGCTACAGACTGTGCACATGAATGATCTCTTGACAATGACAATCTAAACAGAGTAAGCTAATGCTTCTCTTCAGGCATAATTTCCCCATTTGCATACTGTGGCATAGCCCAATCAGGTACAGAAAAGTATGACAAAACTTCATTTCAATCATTTCTTTCTATTTTGAATGTTGAGTATTATATTGATTTGACTAATGGTTACTGATAACTCAAAATACCAGAAAATTAGGTTGATTTTCTGTCATTATTTCAACTCTGCCATTGTTTATCAAGTGTAAATATGTAATAAAATATCATAGTGCTATCTAACTATAGCAATACAACATTGTTATTGATGCTGGAAATATTATTTCTCAACATTTTGGGAAGATCCACAAAAAAGTCTACAGCTGCATCATATGCAAATTATTAAGATTTTCAGATGATGGTTGCTTGATCCCTATTTAACTTAGCATTCTCAAATAGGCAATGCCCTTTTGAAGGCTGCAAAAGTCTCATATAAGGGAAGTAACTACACCATTCATAAGGGAGATAACTATTAACAGAGTAATTGCCCCACAAATGCTTCTGAAGCACTGAGCTATATATAGGATATTTATAGGATATCTGTTCTGAAGACAGGCAAGAGAATGGGTGAGTTCACATTATCATGGGAGAATGTAAAATAAAGGCAGCTTTTTTGAATGAGATTTTTTTTAATATATTTGAGAGATATTACAAACTAACTGAAGAGAGTGAAGCCTGAGAACACAAAATAATTTTTCAAAATGAAAAAAGAAATTATCATGAAATGCACAACCAAATTATAATGAAGGGGGCAACATCATGTATCTTTCTCTGATTTTATTTTGCCAGAAAATGAGTTCGGAAAATATTTCAAATTGATTTTAAACTTATTCCAATTTTAGTTTTTTCCAAAATAAAATAATATCCCTTGAAGGAAATAAAGACACATGATGTTGCCCAAAAATGAGAATTTTGTGCACTCTAAACCAAGCGTTGATGAACGTGAATAATGTCATTTCCCTTCTACAATATATGCTAATATTCAGTCAAAATAAAGCGATGAATTAAAGCCTATGAATGTGAATAATGCTAATAAAATTGTTGAAAATTAAAGTATATTTAAGTGGTTAATTATTGTGGCTATTAAATGATCATACCA